GTAAGACGGATACTGAACCTGGGTGCATTGACCGTGTAAGGTCTGTTGGTGGTGGTTGGAAGCTGCGTGGTGGTCGTCAGCGGGATGAACGTGTCAACGATGGCGTTTGGAGTCGTCACGTGGACAGGGTGGCTGAGCACGTTCGGCCTGCAAAACACGCGATGATTAATTAACATTAAATTGCAGAGAAACCGAGCTACGATTCTCCTCGTGGCAGTTCGAAATCGACGATTTCTGCGGTGAAAGACCGCAGACGCCACGTCTCAAGAAGAAGGATCGTTCGTTCGATTTTTTAATTTTTTTATTTTTTTATTGTCGACCGTTCTTCTTGCTCTTCTTCTCGTCGTTGACTCTGTCATCAATGACAGAAAGATTTACATTACACCGATCTTTTGTTACAGACAAAAGCGTGACAACGTAGAGAAATGTTTGAACGAGCCGTTTTCAGAAACAGTAGGTCAACCAGTCACTAGCAAATCACGCTCGTTTGTCTTCGTCGTGACTACTGTTTTTAACGCCGATTAAATCGATAAGTCGACACGTTTACATAAGCACGATTTTCGCTCGATTTCACGGTATGTCAGTCAACGGTAAGTCACAGCATGCGCTGCAAGGATGCATCGATATCATCTTCCGTCTCTAAGGAGCGTAATTTACAAGAGTGGCAAAGTGACATCGAAAGTCGAGGCGACGATTCGAACGATCGTGATAGTAATTCTCTCTCGTCGGTCTTCGCGTTCGAGGGAAAAGAGAGAGATTCGACGAGAATTTTACATATTACTTCCAAGAGCATCGTTTCGATTAAGAAGAGGTTTCTCACCTGAACGATTGGCCTTCGGTAATACGGAACTTGTTCTTGTTCAGCTGAGCCTGGACACACGGCGGTAGAACAGGAAAAAAGAAAAACGACAAAAGTTATGACTCGCGTTGAATTCCTTCTCAAACAAACGTTCTTCATCCTACCTGATTCTCGTAGATGTCGTAGTCCTGCACCGTGACGTCTTGATTCAGGTTGTACTTGTCCGCTTCGTTCACCGCCACTTTTTTTGGCTTCTGGTACTGTTTCGTGTTCACCTCGCTGATCTTGACGCTCGGTTGAACGGGCACCGATTGGTTCACGCTGTATTGATTGTAATCTAACCGAAAGACGCCACCGATTATATGTCGTATTTCGTCGACGCGTTCAAAATCAATCGACTTTCTCTAAACTTTTATTTTATTTTGATCAAGTAAGGCCTACAGTCCACATCGTTTCATAGATACTTCAACCTCTTTGTGGTTTGCAATGAAACGTAGACTCGGTAGGCTTTGCATTGTTACACTTTGCGAGTAGTAAACGTGAAGGAGGTAAACATTCTTGGAGTTTCTCAAACTTGGTTCGAATAACAATTGAGAACGATTTTCTTACAGAGTTCGAAGGTATATAATGTAATTTATTTATATGATGCAAGAATACTAAACACTCGTTTGTTGCACCCATTGTTAGCATTAATATTTGAGGCTGTTACAGTTTAATCGTAATATCTGAATAGAGGATTCATCGTTGGAAATTGATTGATTGACCTATCTCGCAAAACGACACAAAATGTCGAATTATACCTACCTTTATATGAAACAATGCTTTAGAGATAATGGGTGTGAACGAGTTGTCTTACCATCGTCTTTGTAAATGGACACGTCGTCGTCATAGATGGTGTAATAAGGATAACTCTGGTCTGGATCGTTGTAGTACGACTTGGGGATGACCGAGGCGACGGTGGAAGCTAGGATCTTGGCGACTCTTGGCGACTCGGACGATGGTACTTGCGTCCTGTGCCAAGTTAATCAGGATTAACATATTCCCTTGCAAACCTCTAAATTCATACTTATCAACAGAGAGAGAGAAAGAGAGAGTTATCTCAAATGATCGCCTAGCGGCTAGAGCCGCGTTTCGTGAGATAATCGGTGTTGGAAGGGAAAAAAAGGAAACGTCAGATCGACGTTACGTAAAGGCGAGGCAGCCACCGGTGGAATTAAAGGAGCCCACGGCGAAAGAGAAATCGAGTAAAAAGGTCGTGGCGCGCGCCGTGGCAGGGCTGGCCGGCCCGATTTCAAAGCAGATTTTACGTACCTGTAATGGGCTTCCGTTTGGGCACGCGTGCTCACCAGGCTCTCCTTTTCCCTTTCCTACGGAGACGTGTATCGATTGAAAAATTAATTCACCTCGCTCGTTCTTCTCTTTTTCTTTTTTACTTCTTGTCGAATTCATCTCCGTTTCAACCGCTAATCTAACTGACTTGGCGCCTGTGTGTGTGTGTCGCACGAATAGATTCAAAACCCGGGAATTTATTACGCCGTTTTTACGCGACATAGGCACTTTCGTAGTTAATTGGTGAAATTCTGAAGTGAATTGTTCAGTTCAACTCCGATCGATCTACAGTCATCTTGTATCAGACATTATAGACACGTGCAATCGAGTGTCCAAAGCGACTAAACGAGCTTACCGAAATCACGTTTCTTCGAAGACCATCCCTGTCTCGCTGAACTTGGCCGATCGTCGACGGTTGTCCTCTGTAGACACGTTGCTGCCTATCGCTCTCCACTTCCGACGCTGGCTCGTACTCGTCCTCGTGATAGTTCCTGGCCTGTTGCCTCTGACGAATCTGCTTCTCGGTAATCTGAGGTACCGGAGACTGCGTGGACGTGATTGGGATCGGTTGTCTTTGAACGGGACGTTGCTGTAGCTGTTGTTGTTCACGCCTGTGCTGTTGCTGCTGTTCCCGGATCTGTTGTTGCGATCGCTGCTGCTGTTGCTGTTCCTGAAGCGTCTCGATTTTCGCTGACCTGCGTGATTTTCAAACCGGCTTTAAATAAGAGCAAACTTTAGAGTGATAGATGCGCTTAGAGACTTAGGGGGCAAGTACAATAGATTGTTCGATCATTGGGAATCTCTGTGT